TGTGATTTGCAAATACTGTCAAATGAAATATGCATTGCCAAATGCTACTAGGATGACCAAACACATCCTTGTATGTAAGAAGTGTCTTGCGGATATTAAAAAATCCTTCCTGGGTGTAAGTGAGGAGCAGGTAGACCATGATGATGAAAATGCAAGTAGCTCTTTTCAATGTTTTTGATCCAGAACGCCTCCTCCTCCTCCTCCTCCTCCTCCTCCTTCTATAACATCAGCATCACAAAGGGTTGCCCAGTCAACATCCTCAACTAACCAAATATTGCAACCAACTGTATGCAAAATACTCTCAATAGGTTCATTTCTAGACAAGATGACACCTGAAGATCTGGAAAAAGATGACCAAGCTCTTGCAAGAGCAATATATTCTTCTGGGACACCATTGTTAATAACTGAAAATACATATTGGCAGGAAGCTTTTAAATTACTGAGACCATCATACTGTTTGCTGAGCAGGCATTCTTTGAGCAAGCCTCTTTTAGAGTCAGAATATGAATGTGTAATGCAATCCGTACCAGGGAAAATCAATGAAGCACTGTGGCTTGCAGTACTTACAGATGGATGGACAAGTGTGTGGGGAGAAGGAATCTTAAATTTTATGATAACAACACCTCAACCAGTTTTTTACATAAGCATTGAAACAGGAGACAACAGGCATACTGCAAAGTATACCAGTAGTAAAATATGTGAAGTCCTACAGAAGATTGGCAGTGGTAAAGTATTTGCTTTGCTGACTGACAATACAAATAACACGAAAACAGCATGGGAGATCATAATGGATAAATACCCACATACTACTGCAATAGGATGTGCATCCCATGGGCTAAACTTGCTTCTTAATGACATCATGAAGTTGGACACTCTGCAAAAGATCTATAGAAGAGCAAAATAAGTTATAAAACATGTAAAAGCTACTAATATTGTAGCTGCAGCCTTTAAGAAGAAGCAGGAAGAAAAAATGCAAAGAATAAAATAGTGACACTCAAACTCTGTAGTACAAGTAGATGGGGTACAGTGGTGATCTCATTTGAAAGTTTACTAAAAAATAAAGAAGCTCTTCCAGAAATAGTAATAATTGAGGACCTTAAAGCATCCAGAAGTGTGAGGAACATTGTACATGATGAGGATGTCTTTTGGGTTCAGCTGCAGAACTCCCTGAAGATTCTAAAGCCAATTTCTTCAGCAATCACTGCATCTGAATCAGATAGTACACTTTTGTCAGACATTCCTTACCAAATGGCCCAGATAAAAATCAACTGTTTTTGAGAATCTAAGTGTATCTCTGCTTACAAGCACAGAAGAAAGAAAAGTGAAAGACTTTATTAACAGATGGGAAGAATGTTTGTTGCCAATCAATTCATGCTGCTACAAATCTCTTGGATCTAAGATTCAAAGGCAGAATTGTTAGTGATTATACCACTGCTACTGCATTTGAATGGATTACAAAACAAGCAACAGACTTAGGACTTGATGTTGAAAAGGTACTTTCAAATGTTGCAGAATACAGAACATCTTCACGTATCTTTGGTCCAGGAGTGCAGTTTGAGACACTGGCAACCACATCCCCCCTGCAACATAGTGGCAAGGCCTTTGCACGACACAGCCTCTGACTCTTCTTGCTTCTTGCCTGCTTCAGATTCCTTCATCTTCTGCAGCACATGAAAGAAACTGGTCTATGTTTGGAAATACTCACACCAAATCAAGAAGTAAGTGAACATGTGAAAGAGTAGAGAACCTTGTCTCAATCCAGGAAAACCTTCAGTTTTCAGAAGTCCATGAAAACAATGAAAATGAAGGATCAGAAGAATCAGAAACTGCTGATAGCGATAGCTCAGAAAATGAGACTGATTAGACAAAGTTTCATATAGCAAAATTTGTATTCAATAAGTCTTGGTATTTTTTTTCCCTTTTTTCAGCTCTTTTTCTAAAAATGTGCTTTCTGTATCTGTTTGACACTGTGGAGGAGACTAAGTCTAGAATACATAATAACTTTCTTTGTTTTCCTATAATGTTGATGAGTTCTTCTATTTTCAACTTTAATTTTTGCCTGCTTCTCATAAACTGGCAAAAACTAAGAGATGCTAGGTTCCTTAGAGTTCAGCAGCTTGTAGCTCCATTTGTAACAAAAATTAAAAACATTTTAAAGTAAATTAAATTAGTAAATTTGTGATTTGTGTCTGAATAAACTGTACTTTTAAATTTAATAAATATATCAAATATGATAACTTTATGAGCAAATTAAGTTATACATAATACATTTTATGTTCTTAAAGTAGCAAAGTAAATTTAGACCTGTAAAGGGTGCTAAGAAAATAAGTATCATGTATATTTCCATTTCCCCCCAAATTTCCATTTTTTTCCAGAAATTTTTTTCCCCCCCATGGCTTCAAAATGTACAGAAATTTTACATCTCTAGTAAGTAGTGTTTAAACCTAAAAAAATAGTTTCTTTTCCATATACCCTGTAATTAAAATGTGGATGGAACTTATCGCCACAAGATGATGTGGAAGCTGACAGTTTCGGCAGATTCAGGAAAGGATTGGATAAATTCTTGGAGGAAAGGTGCAGCAGTAGCTTTTCAGCATGAGTTAGGGGTACAGCCTCTGAATCAGAACTTCCTAGGCCTTAAATGCTGGATGCTGCAAGTGAGAGAGAAACAGTAGAAAAAACCGTGGTCATACCCAGTTCACTCTCCCTTTCAGCATCCACTCTCTGCCACTGTGTGACACAGGAGACTGGGCAAGATGGACCAATGGTTTGATGTAGTAAATGGCAGTTCTTTTGTACTGTCACCAGCTTTTCTACTGCTGCCATAGAAAATTTTATGGAGGCACAAAGGGAAAGCAAACAGACGTCTATACCATGTGTTATACCACAAATGCCCAAATTTATGGCTGCAACAAAGATGGCAATACTTTTCTGACGCTATTGAAGCAGATGTCTGTTAAGTTTATGGTACAAGAGGTGAGGGCAGCCTGGAGCTGCCTTCACTCTCGAACTGCCCTGGGCAGGTGTACTCAGGGTTTGAGAGCTTCAATCCTGCACACCCTATTCAAGGATCAGACTCCTTAAGCCCTGAAAGCACCTGCCTGACTTTTCCCACTTACAGAAATGCATTCTGAAGATTCCCTGGGGCTCATTTCTGGAAGTGGAGAACCTCAACTTTCTCTGCTTATACAAAGATAAGCTCTGGGGTACACCTCTAAGTGGGGAAACCCTAGCTTTCCTTGCTTACAGAGGCACAGCCTTGAGATTCCCTGAGGCATTTCTCTGCAAACAGGGAACATGTTGCCTGTTGTCCTGCAGGTTGCACCCTGGCATAGCTGATCTGCTTCATTTGGTGATGATTATTTAAGTGCACCTGGATTCATTGGTCTGCCTCAAAAGTACAGAGGGATGAACGATATCACTTGGGATGCTGGGTAAAAATTTCAAAAGTACCTAAGTGATGGAACAAACAATCTAATATTATAAAAGCCTAAGTCTGTCTGTCTGTCTGTCTGTCCATAACGCTTTATTCGCACTCTGACTGGCTGTTGGAAACAGGTAATGCGGGGTGGGGGGCAAGTGGGCCTGGGCCCAATGTGTGGTGGGGAGGGCAACATAGGGCAGGGAGCGGGCCCAAGCGGGGAAAAAGCCCATGCTGGGGGGAGGGGAACAGCGGGCCCAGCTTGATGCGGCCACAGCAGCAGCTGGGGGTGTGGCGGGGGG